CTCAGAAATATAGACAGATACAAAAAGGAAACTTATACTTAACAGTTGAAATTTCTAGGGCACATATTGAGGAAAGAGGGCTTGGAAAATCTGATACTCACAGGGCAGACTGAAGGCAAGGAAGATAGAGGAAGACAACGCATAACCTACTTAGCAAGCATGAGTAAATGAATGGCAGAGCAAGTTTTAGGTGAGATAACAAACAGACAAAATTCACGAAGAGCTGCAAAGTAGAGACCATGAACATTCATGGTCGCCTCTGTCTTGAAAGGACACGTCGTATAGTAGAGAATCTACTACGGCTATACAATCTGTAACCCTCTATTGGGTTAAACTTTAGTAAAAGAAAGAAAGCGGCTAAAATATATTGATGACCAAAATTAGTTTATTCAATCAGTTATGTGCCATACGTGGTACAAGTCTGGTCGATCATGTATCTTTCGATACATGACTGACGAGGTAGATTTTTCCCGCAGAAGGTTGCCATTTCTTTCTGCGGTAGACCAGTTACCATCCAAGGCTATAGAACCCGGTCTGTCCTGCTATTTACCTATAGCTGGGGGGGGGGGAGAAGAGGATTCATACTTTTCCACAGGGGTATTAGCACGTAAGTGAATGTAATGGATTCGACTGGAATTCGAACTCGGCTCTCCGATTCCTCAATCCGATCTGTCCTGCTATTTATCCATTGCTGGGTGGGAGAAGAAGAGGATTCATACTTTTCCCAAGGATATTAGCACGTAAGTGAATGTAATGGATTCGACTGGAATTCGAACTCGGCTCTCCGATTCCTCAATCCGAGCTGCCCGGTCTGTCCTGCTATTCATCCATTGCTGGGTGGGAGAAGAAGAAGAGGATTCAGACCTTTCCCAAGGGTATTAGCACGTAAGTGAATGTAATGGATTCGACTGGAATTCGAACACGGCTCTCTGATTCCTCAATCCGTGCTTCCATGTGCCATGCGTGATAAACGCTTACACGATCATGTATCTTTCGATACATTACTTCCCGCAGTAGGTTGCCATTTCTTTCTGCGGTAGACCAGTTACGGATGGAACCCGATCTGTCCTGCTATTTACCCATAGCTGGGGAGAGAAGAGGATTCATACCTTACCCATGGGTATTAGCACATAAGTGACTGTAATGGATTCGAATTCGAACCCGGCTCTCCGATTCCACAATCTGAGCCACTATCCATTACGCCGCCATAGTTTATTAATGCATAGAAATAACAGATTTTGTCCAAAAAAACAAAAACGGTAGAATCTTTTGAATCGACATAATAAATAGAAATTTTAACTAGTGTATTTGAAAACCTTGCTCAAGGGCCATTAGCATGATGGAAGACAGGAGGCATTTCAGATTGAGTTATTTCGTGTACCCGCTTTCCCAGAAGCAAAAAGACAGATTAACAAAGAATTGTTCTTTGGGAGATTTCTGCGCATTCAAATAAGATTTTGCCGAATTTGCCTACGAGGTATATTGTACCACATTCTCTGCAACTGATGCCAGAAAGATTACGGCGTTACCAATTCAAAATTCAAAATTCAAAATGCAGAAAAGAAGGCAGCGTGTTGTCTGAGGAATTTGATCCTAGATTAAAGGAAGAGATAAATTTGCCGTGGTGATACATATTCTTTTAAATGCTTCCAAAATATACTATCTATCTATCTATCTATCTATCTATCTATCTATCTATCTATCTATCTCTCTCTCTCTCTCTCTATATATATATATATATATATATATATATATGTGTGTGTGTGTGTGTGTCTGTGTGTGTGTATAAATGTAAATATATATATATATATATATATATATATATATATATAATTATGTATATATAAATGCGTATGCATATAGACAACAGTACACATATACATACATATGTCAAATCCCATACTGTCCACATATGTTTATGTCTGTATGAGCCCCGGCGGACGAGCGTGTATGTGTGTCTGCGTACCTCAACGGGTGTACGGACATGCATCTATGTTTGCGTTAGCATGAGTGACATCAGGACAACGATTCCCCCCACCCAACTCCTATAATAACACCAATACACGCAATCTACATAAGCCCAAAATTTAAAAAAATGAATCAGTTTGTCTGACGATCGCAAAAGCATGAAACCCAGGGTGACAAACTCACATCAATCCAACCAAATATATATATATATATATATATATATATATATATATGCACATTTCATTGAATACGACAGTTAAGGGGCTTTTATTTAGTTTTTTGTACAATTTCTCATGCGATCTTATAATTTTTTTTTCTTTTCAGATGATAAATTATATAAAAACTGTACGAATGTTCTTTTTACCCGGGCGGTTTCGGCTATACATTTAGCCATTTTCGAGGATGAAATATTTTAAATGTTAAATAAGAAATAGTTTGTTGCATACTATTTACATTATTCGGACTATTGTCCTCATCTTTGTCGCCATATTTATTACAACGTATCGGCCGTTGTACGCTCCGGCCTTCTTCAGGTGGTTGGAATGTCGAACTGAACCCTTTATATCGCTCACTGGGATAGACTGTTCTAGTTCCACATTTAATGGATGTCATTTATCAGTTATCTCCTGTTAATTTCCCTCTGAAAGTTCTGAACTGCCTTAACCGGGTATTGAACTCACACTCTTTGGTCCTGTCATTGGATCTAACCAACGCCTTTGTGCCATGTGTCCTGACACTACTTTCTCCGAATCTTCACTCTGAATAATATATTTAGTAACCTTCCCTAGATTACAACACATACATTCTATTTTCTTTTCTTTAATATTTAGTCTTTTCTTTAATATATTTAGTAACCTTCTTTTCTTTAATATATTTAGTAACCTTCCCTAGATTACAACACATACATTCTATTTTCTTTTCTTTAATATTTAGTCTTTTCTTTAATATATTTAGTAACCTTCCCTAGATTACAACACATACATTCTATTTTCTTTTCTTTAATATTTAGTCTTTTCTTTAATATATTTAGTAACCTTCTTTTCTTTAATATATTTAGTAACCTTCCCTAGATTACAACACATACATTCTATTTTCTTTTCTTTAATATTTAGTCTTTTCTTTAATATATTTAGTAACCTTCTTTTCTTTAATATTTAGTCTTTTCTTCTAGCTTTCGTTTTCTACATTGTCTCGGAGTTTGATTTTTGTTTGGTGGAGGGTTCAGTTTTTCTTCTGAGTCAGCTATCACGTTATCTGTTCATCATAATAATCCTGCTAGGATTTCTAGTTCTCAAACTGTCGTCTGGCAGTTAAATAAATCGGTGAAAAATATATATATATATTTGACTTACTCCTCAGTCTAATGCAAACATTATATGCTAAATATTCACTCAATGCAAGTCTCGAGAGTAACTCAAGGTAGAGGGTTCCTGTGAAAATGGTAATGCGGAATGAGGTTAGAAAGGTTAGACAACGATAGACCCTTGACTTAAAGAGGGGAAGTTTGTAATGTTGAGGAAAGCACCTACACGGGAATCTATTCTCCAAAGTAGCAATTCTTTTTTTTTTGGGGGGGGGGCTTCTGTGTGGAACCTATTCTTACATTTGGAACACGGGGGAGATCAGTGTGATTTGACTACGTGGAAGTAGCAAGGTCTATCCTACTCGGTATTTACTAGCCCCCAACACTACGAGGGTAGATGTGGCACAAGGCCGAGTTTAACGTGGGACATCCGAGCCCTTAGGCTCGGCCAAAAAATCCCCATAGAACCCGCGTAAACGGGATCGGGAAACGAGACTTTGCCCTTCGGCATAGCCTAGTCCGGGTTCCTTCTCTGCCCGAAAGAGTTCGACCGTATAACTGAAAAGATTTCAGTTAGTCTCTTGCTAGTCGCAAGGCCTATCCTAGTTGTAAAAGTCTGAACGGGTAGAACTAAAGAATGGATCTCATCTGAACATTTGCCATGGAAATAGCGATAAAATAGCAATAGGCTTGCAGAGGTGCGTCCGTGGGAAAAGAAGCTTCGGCATTCGACAAAGCACGACAGCAAAACCGATTTGAAACAGCTAGTTAATCTAGACTTATATGGGAAAGGTATTTGAATAATCCTCTATATTTACCGGGAACAATGCTTTTGCGTAATCTATGAAACGTGTGTCTGACGGAATACACATTTGAAAAGTTGTTTCGAGCAGGAACATTTTCCTCATACACACACACACATATATATATATATATATATATATATATATATATATATATATATATATATATATATATATATATATAAAAGGCTTAAACAGTAATATTACATATATATATAATAAAAAGGCTTCAACACTAATATTCCATGGTCATAATTTATTCGATTGGAATTATTGCATATGCAATAAATTATGACCATGGAATATTAATGTTTAAGCCTTTTTATTATATCCTTACTCTGTCCTGGACATTGAGTTCTACCTGGATTCTATCCTCTTGGAATTATTTTTATACAAATATATATGTATGTGTATGTATGTATGTATATATATTTATATATTTTAGATATATGATTGCATATGTATGTGTATATTTACCACTAATATTATCTAAATATATATATATATATATATATATATATATATATATATATATATATATATATATATGATCAAATAAATATCAAAATACGTTTCTTAAATTTTTCCTTAAATTTAAATTTTATATATATATATATATATATATATATATATATATATATATATATATATATATATATTTTTTTTTGATGATGCATGTATGTTGGCCTAAACTAGTCGAGGAATCTAAATGAAAAATAAAAAAAAACGAAGGAATACACAACCCAGTGTGTCTGAAGATTTTAATTTTTTTAAATTATTATTGTTCAACATATATATATATATATATATATATATATATATATATATATGACGTTACTATTACTAATAAGAATAAGCAATAGAGATATGAGAATGAGAGAGTGAGTGACCAAGAGAGAAGTCAGAAAACAAGGAGTCGTTAACCGTTAAAGATAGAGAGTTTGTGAGAGAGTGAGTGTGAAGGAAGAGGTACAATCGAAAAAGAGAGATCTATTAACCGTTAAACATAAGATAGATAGATAGATAGATAGATAGATAGATAGATAGATAGAGTGGGAGGAAGAGATAAAGACAGTCAGAATGTAGTGAGCCGTTAAACTTTAAACTTGAGATAAGAGAGAGTGAGTGACTAAGAGACTGAGTGAGTGATACAGTCAGTCATATAAGAGACAGCCGAGGGAGGGAGGGAGGGAGGGAGGAAGGGAGGGAGTGAGGAAGTGAGTGATTGAGTAAGGGAGTGAGTAGGGAGTGATACAGTCAGTCATATAAGAGACAGCCGCTAATCGTTAAACTTGCCATAGAGTGAGTGAATGAGGGAGAAGAGAAAAGAGAGAGAAGGAAGAGATGCAGTCCGTCAGAAATGAGAGAGCCGTTAACTGGTAAACATGTGTTAGATATATCTATCTTCCACAGAGAGATACATAGAGACAGACAGACAGACAGAGAAAGAGAAAGAGAGAGGGAAACACAAAGACAGGATGAAGCCGAAAACTATTAAACCCAAGATAAAGAAAGAATAGGAGTGAGTGAAAAGGGGAAAGATATCAACAGAAAAGAGAGAATCGTTAAACATTAAACGTAAACATAAAGAGAGTGAGAGAGACGGGGAGAGCCAAAAAATGACATGAAAAGTGAGAGTCGTTAATCGTTGAAAATGAAAGTGAGAGTGAGTTACAGTGAGAGATTCAGACAGATAATAGAGAGACCTTAACCGCCAAACATGAGATAGAGAGAGTGTGCGTGCATATGCGTGTGTATGAGGGAGAAATAGATAGATAGATAGATAGATAGATAGATAGATAGATAGATAGATAGATAGATAGAAACATAAAAAGAAAGATGCAGGCATAGATAGATAGATAGATAGATAGATAGATAGATAGATAGATAGATAGATAAGAACATAATGAGATAGATAGATAGATAGATAGATAGATAGATAGATAGATAGATAGATAGATGGATAGAAACAAACAGATAGAAAGAAAGAAGCAGGCATAGATAGATAGATAGATAGATAGATAGATAACAACATAATAAGATAGATAGATAGATAGATAGATAGATAGATAGATAGATAGATAGATAGATAGAAACAAACAGATAGAAAGAAAGAAGCAGGCATAGATAGATAGATAACAACATAATAAAATTGATAGATAGATAGATAACTAGATAGATAGAAAGAAAGAGATATAGATAGATTGATAGATAGAAACAAAAGATAGAAAAAAAGAAGCAGGCATAGATAGATAGATAGATAGATAGATAGATAGATAGATAGATAGATAGAAAGAGAAAAAGAAATGGGAAACAGTGGGCACATAGAGAGAAAGAAGAGAGAGAAATAGTTTTATTTCTTATTCTGTTTCTGATCTCATTGTAAATCATATTCAAAAAGGCAACAAAACAGAAAATAAATTTTCCTAACGGAAATAAAAAAAACAAAAAAACAAAAAGACCCACGGGGAAAAAAGAAAACGTTTTTAAAAGGTGATTATCCAACCCTAGTTGTTTCTTCCCATTTATCTGAATTGGCCATAAAACCACACAATAATAAATATTTTAACTGCACATAATCGACACTGGAACGTTGGCCGAAGAGCAATCGTAGCCGTCATGTTTTACGACTGTCATCGTCGTTGTGTCAGTAAATCACCAATTACAGAGTAAAAAGAGTGATGTATACCTAATAATATTGTACAGATAACGTCCGTTTAGCGATTTTCAGGCCGATAAAAATCATATTTGGCCGTCGGCTTTAGGCTTAGGATAAAAATGTCGAGGCTAATTACGGACATTCCCTATCAAAATATGGAGGCGGATCGAGTCATACTCTCTACCAATGATCTTCTCATGAGTTAATTTTTAAAATGACACTTTTTTTTTTTTTTAGAATTAATTATTCCTATCGGCCAAACTCAACTCAGACCTCAAGTTGGAACTCGTATACAATCCATCGTTAAAGATGCAGGACGATATTGTTGCAGATTGGCGAATGTATGTTGATTTATCAGAAGGATTATTTATGTGCGTGTTCTAAAACATTCATCCACAACAATTAAAGAGAGAAAGGAGTATTGAAGACAAAACATGGAAGATGGATCAAAGAAAAACAAAGATTATTAAAGGCATAAAAATAACATCAATTTATGGACAATTTACATATACATATACTTTGGATATATTTGCGTCATTGAGGATAGCTAAGTTAATTTATAAAGAGTGTTTTTGTGGAGTTTGAAAGTGTGCAAAGCTTTTGTTGAGATTTGTGCACGAAATTAAATTAAGTAATTAAACGTAAATAAAAAATGTCTCCTGTGCGAGTTCAGTCCTTAGTGTGTGTGCGTAAATTATCTTGCATTAATGTTCAGAGTTGGTAGGAGTTGCGTACCTTTAGTTGTGTTAGAAGTTTGTTTGATTAATTACAAATACTTGTTTGGTAGTAAGTATATATTACTTTCTGAAGTATTGTAAATGATTGTTCGAAATTATACCTGAGAGAGCGTGATTGTTATTTGCTGAGTCAGAGAAGTTTTTTTTTTTTGTTTTTTGTTTTTCGCGGTAAAAGTTATTTGGTCAAGGTTTTGACTTGCGTGGAAATCTGACTGTTTGAGTCAATTTGGATTTTCCTTTATATAGATTTCGGGCAAATAAAACTGGCTCCAGGCCGTTGGGCGCGAAAAGACATTTTCACGGGAACTTGTTATAGTTCCAAGCCTCTGGACCAATGAGAAGTCTCGCTTGCCGAAATTAGAATGTTGATTGGTTGTTATGTTATTTGGTGCAAAGTGAATTATACCGGAGGGGTGAAAGGTTAGTATGGATTATTCCAATAATATAGTCGGTTCCCTCTATAGGTCCAGCAAGTACCGCACTCCTTCTGCTATACTCCCCGCACATTTACAACAGCCAGATCAGGTCGAAAATGGATTACTGCTGCCATATATAGGTAGGAACTGTCCCTATAGACCCCGTAAAAACAGGGCCGTGTAGCTATCTACCACCCCAGACTAGACTCTGCCCTTTGGCATAGCCTCGTCTGGGTTCCTCTCTACCCAGAGGCAGAGAGTTTGACAAGCACACTGTAGAAGATCACAGTGAATCAAGGAATAAGGAAGTTCTGAAGAAAACAGAAACTACAAAAAGAGATTTAAAATCAGAGAGAGGCAGTTGAAATTTCCGGGACACATTATGAGGAAAGACGGCTTGGATAATTTAACACTCACAGGATATATTCAGAAAAGTAAAAGCTGAAAGAAAAAAGCGATTAACCTAATGAGGGTGTACGATTCAGAGTAGAGTCCAAGGGGCAGGAAATTGTGGAGAGCCATGATTATCCACGATATATAAATGAGGACGACGATCCTGGAATTAAGAAAATAGCAAAAGCATCCAAAACGAGTTTCCCGACCAAAGGCAGCGACATAGACAGCTTTGCCATATTTTAATCCGCAAAGAAACAAAAGTGATACTGACACGATAAGATCTATGCATCTTCGACAATCACTTCAAGCGATTTTGTCATCGAAGAATTAATTCGAAATTGGGCTTCCATACTATCTATTTTGTATACTTTACAAATTTCTGCTCACGGGCCAACGGGAGGTGAACGTGATTTCAATCTTCTAACGAGAAGTTATAGCCCTTACGTCAGAACTTTAATGGAGCTGCGTCGTTGTCATTGGCTGTGTCGCCATTGATTGAACACTAACGTCGCTTTCTGAAACCTGTGGGGCTAAGAGTCGGCCACTCCCCAGGCAGCGGACAGTGAGTGATTTAATTTCAGCAAGTATTCTGTTTATATTATGATTTTAGACAATGACAATAAATCATTGAGACCCAAGTTTTGACACATTGCTTACCACTAGACCCTGTCTGAATCCACATTTTTTTTCTTTTCTTTTTTTAATCTTCTGATATTCAAAAACTTTTCTAGTGTCGGTCGATAAACATTCTCCTACAAGCCCAATTCCTATTGATTAAAACATCAGTCGCGAAATCTTCTATTTTTCATCTTTTTATGCACCTAATTTTTTTTCTGGGCATGAGAAATTTCTCTTGGTCAATATTTAGCGGTTTTCCACTGCCGGCTCTTAAATTGTTAGCTACGCTGAAATACACAAGAATATGGTTTCTATAGTACGACAGCACCCACCCCTTCAAAATGTCAGACGAGTAGAAAGAGACTGAAAAATTAACCAGGTGAAAGGATGTTTTGAAAACGATGAAAATATTAGTATACGCTTTGCTGTTCAGAACAGCGTATCCAACGTTTGATTCACTACAGCCAGACCATTGTACACTCAAAACTAATTAAGTTATTGTTGTGACCTTGTTAGGGCCAGAAAGAAAGACACAAGGGAGGAATTTAATTAAACAAATATATTAACAGAATACTGAAATAAAATATATACAAACGAGAGTGTTACAGCAAGAATATTCGGTCCAACTGTCAGAGCTGACTGCTGGAAAGTTCCCTCTCCAAAAGGCAGTACCTGCTCCTATTTATAGCTGGGAGAGTCCATGCGTGCATGTGTAAATTACCATAATACTATTTATCCATTTCAATCTGTTCGTATCTATCTATCTATCTGTTGTGACCTTGATAGAGCCAGAAATAAAGACACAGAGAGAGAAAAAATGAGTTAAACAAATATATTAACAGAAAACAGTAATACAAACATATACAAACGAGAGAGTTACAGCAAGAATGTTCGATCCGACTGTCAGAGCTGACTGCTGGAATCTTCCCTCTCTAAAAGGCAGTACCTGCTCCTATTTATAGCTGCGAGAGTCCATGAGTGCGTAGGTAAATTACCATAAAACTATCTATCCATTTCAGTCTGTTCGTATCTATCTATCTATCTATCTCAGTTTGTTCTTATCTATCTATCTATCTATCTATCTATCTATCTATCTATCTATCTATCTATTTATCTGTTGTGACCTTGTTAGAGCCAGAAATAAAGACACAAAGAAAGGAATTGAGTTAAACAAATATATTAACAGAAACAGTAATACAAACATATACAAACGAGAGTGTTACAGCAAGAATGTTCGGTCTGACTTTCAGAGCTGACTGCTGGAAATTTCCCTCTCCAAAAGGCAGTACCTGCTCCTATTTATAGCTGGGAGAGTCCATGCGTGCGTGGGTAAATTACCATAACAGTTATCTGTCTTCATACTCGGTAAATGTCACTAATTTCAAACTAGTATATATATCCAATCCACGGGGATAGATTATTCACATTCTGCTTAAGGGAGATAACTCTTATCAGTTAATAATAACCAGTCTTAATCACCTTTTTCTTGTTTGTCCGCTTCTTCCTCACAAGCATATTATGTGACAGTCATTCACAGGGATCGAACTAACAACCAAGAAATGCAAACGGGTCTCATTCTGCTTCGCATCCTTAGGGGATATTTCATATCATTTAATACTCACGTATTAATCTATCAATTAATGTCAAAGCAACATTTCGAGTGGTTAGAACTTTTGCTTTATTACTAGGAGACCCGGGTTCGAATCTCGCCCTGGGTGATTTGTCAGGGAGGTGGATATCGGTCTGGAGAGGGGGGAAGACGATACCGGCGTGCGGCATCTTTGGAAAGAGTGAAATCGGGTAGACGTCGGTGGTCGTGCTAGCACGAAGTCACAAGTCATCGTGGCCGAGGGTTTAAACGTGCTAGCCTTGTTCAGACTGTTTTATCACGTTAGACAACGCGATCTCTCCCAGAAACTGTACTGCTCAGCTTAGTTGCAGTATAAACCACAGGTGGACTCTGTGGGTATGGAACAAACACAAATGTGCTTGAGCAGGCGTCTGCAATGGGGATTAGCTAACATTCGGCTTCAAGTGGCTGCGCTATAAAAAAAAATGAATAATCACTAGTCACCTTTCACCTTTGTGTTGATTGTTCATTTCTTCCTCTCAACCAGAGTATGTGTTATACTGACAACTGACAGTATAACAACAAAGGCAGTTACATAGGATCAACAGGCGCCTGAAGAAGCCCGGACGACACACAGCCGAAACGTTGTAGCAATAATCTAAATAAAGATAGTACCTCAGGAAGAAATTGAATCGATTATAATCGATTATATAATAATTAGCGTCTCGGAAATCGACGGATTCTGGTCTAGTTAGACGCATTCGCTTTCATACAAATACTGGTGGGATATATATAGATACGTCACTTCTCCCACTAGCTATGGATCAAATAACTGGGTAGACTGGGATCCCTAGCAACGGTTGGCAATGAGCATAGGAAACGATGAAACTATGAATTTGATTATGTAACCCGAACGAAGCGCACATACTA